TGGATTTTGACAAAGCTTTATGCGGCCATGATGCGTCACTGAATTCGTAGTTCGTTTTTCATCATTTTGAACACACATGATTTATTACATACATCACGCTGTTATGTTATGGTGTGCTTATCAATAAATGTGCTCATTCGTATGTGGCCAGCTACAATGGTTCTGGTTGTTCGATTGAATAACAAGGCAACACACGAATACTTCCCTCAGTCTGGCATGTATAGTAAACCGAGTGGCGTCATATAGATACACTGCCTTCCTAGCACCAGAAAATCGGTGCTGCGGAGACTGTATTGCAACATTTTCAACTTTGCAGGTGTGTCGCCACTACCTATATCGTACATAGACAACCGATTCACCATACGCAACATTGTACTGTCGGCTGCTTTCGAGACAGTCTTTCATATGTTTCATAGCCGGTTCAGACTCGGTGGCCACGAGAGTGAGCTGCAGTCGATTCATCTGGTAGCCAAGGGTGTACGCGGGAATACGAACAAGGGTAGTTATCGATACGTGTTCTCGAACGTACGAGCAGTTATAAGTTCCTATAGAAGAGTACTATAAGTTTGTACAACATAGTTCTGGTATATACAATCTACAATGTTTACACGAAATCGTTAAAGGCCATTCATCCAGTATTGTATTTATACATCTGCATGGGCACTCTAGCCTCATTGTTACCGCACTACTGTCAACGTTCAACGCAAGAGTGAGGAAATTCATAGTCTTCGTCATAAAATAAACGATAGCCTCCTAATAAATGAACACAAGCAGAGTAATTTTTTTTTTGATTTTTCTTCTTCAAAGTAGAATATTAGAAAATTGAGAACAAACGTAAGCCCAGCAACTATAGTTTTAATTGGCCAGTGGTATAATATCCGCCTACTATTGGCTACGATATTGTTACCAATAATCTATTTATTGATTAGGCGGTCCTCCGTATGTACGGCGTGTAGTCGTACACAGGATATATGTGTTTTTGTTTAGTATTTACATTTGGCTTTCTATTCATTTGTTTATTATTTACTATTTTTGGAGTTTATATTTTTTTCTCGGCTTTCTAATTAGTAAATAATTTCTTGCTCACCTTGCTAGAGAGGGATTTATAGGGACCGACCGACACAGGCTGACAAGCCTGTAACACTTTTGACAGCAGACAGCGACTTGCGAGTTACGACTCGCTGACTTTGAGTTCTGAAATGACTTAATGAGAGTTGTGACGACTTGTGTGCGATAACTTTGACAAAAAGAAATTTTAGGTTTGTACATTTAAAAATACAATGATACAATTGAGCCGATAAGCACCCATGTGACGAAGGGGCTGGAGGGTTCAGAGCTGCAGAAATGGCCATCTGGTATACCCCAGTACTCCAATACTCCAGCAATGAGTCACTTTCTAAATCTTGACGATGAACATTGTTTTGTATTGAATTAAAGACACATTAAATTTCCAGTCAAGGTTCATTTGATTACTTTCTATTACCGGCGCTTTAAACCAAAAAGGTAACTCGGAAGCAATTGCTAGCAGTATGTTTTTCAATCAGCGAACAGTTGCTCTGTTGGCGGTCGTATTGGTCATTTCTATCTCTCACATTGAGGCCTTGCCGTCCCAGGTGAACACGTGTACGTACCGTGAACAGTATTACATTGAGGGTGATAGAATCCAAGGTGCTACACTCACATGTACGTGTAGAAATGCCAAGTGGTCTGAGTGCACGGTTCATGCGGAAGAGACCCTTAGTGAAGCATTGAACAACCCTTCGCCTCCTTCTAGTGCATTAAGTTACGACATCGGAAGCAACCAGATCACCGACAAGGTGGAGAATTCTCTCACTGAGGCCTCGCCATCCCAAGTGAACACGTGTACGTATCGTGAACAGTATTACATTGAGGGCGATAGAATCCAAGGTGCTACACTCACATGCACGTGTAGAAATGCCATGTGGTCTGAGTGCACGGTTAATGCGGAAGAGACCCTCAATAGCGAAGCCTTGAACAATCCTTCGCCACCTACTAGTGTATCAAGTTACGACAACGGCAACAACCAGAACACCGACAAAGTGGAGAATGTTAACTTAGACAGCCAGGATAGCGCCGGTATGGACATGGAGAGCATGAACATGAAAGAGAGTACAAAATACTATGCGCCCACGGGCATGAACGAGTACCTTGTAGGCGCTAAAGCCTCGTTCAATCGGTTCTTATACAATTTTGACAACGAAGATTTTGTCTTTGATTTCTCGGATTCGAATGCCGTACCTGTGGATTCCACTGGCAACGGAGGTACTATACAACCCGTTGATATCGAAGGTTTCCCAGTTATGCAGCTGGCCGATATGGCTTACTCACGCTTCAGTATCGGTCCATGCGGCATCAACCTGCCTCACTTGCATCCGAGAGGCACTGAGTCCCTCTATGTGATCGACGGAATGCTCACAGTTGGTATGTGACTGGGTGTCGGACCTATACAAGTCTGCTTGGTACACTTGATGATATATCTTAAGTACTGCAAATACAGTACTCCCTAGTAATTGAGTTGTATCTCTACATTTTCGTTTGCTTTATTGTGGCTTGAGGTTTGGTCTGTCATTTACAAAGTATAAGTTTCTCGATCGGTTATATTGTTGCTACTGAACTCGGCCTTGCAATGTACGCATCTCAATATTGTTGCTTCCTCCAGCCACTTAACCTAATTTCTTCTGGTATCACAAACAATAGGATTCGTCGCCGAAAGCGGTCGCCTTGTTCTCAATGACATCGAGAAGGATCAGACCACCTTCTTCCCCAAGGGCCTCATGCACTATCAGCAGAATATGCAATGCGTGCCCGCGAACTTCATCTCCATTCTCGACACTTGTGACCCAGGGGTGCTTGTTATCACCGAATCTCTCAATGCTCTACCTGACGAAGCACTTACTGCCACATTCGGTGAGGATCAAGAGTTTATCAATCAGCTTCGTTTGGGTTTACCCGATGGGCCCGCGCGAGCCCGTTCGGAGTGTTTGAAACGATGCGGGCTGTCTAGTGATACTCCTCTCGAGAACGGAGAGACTGGGACAAACACCAACGGCTATAATAACGATAATTCCAACAACAACAATGATAATAATGTGTACAACAATGGATATCGAAAAAGAAAGTAGTGTGTACAGTAATCACACGATAATACCGTAAGGGATGCATGGGGCTGGTTTGTAAGCTCATCTTGTAACAGCTTGCGGGCAAGTCGGCAACAAGAATTTAGAACCGAATGGACAACACATCAAATAATTATTGGTTGACAGCGCATTGAATAAATCCAAAATATTAATGACGCCTGGCAATTAAGAGAAGCAGGAAATACTGAATACTCGACCTAACAGGATGTCTATGCATTTCTCTGATAGTGTAGTATGTTTTATGTCCAACGTGGAGCTGTACATGGTGAATTTTAACGTTAAAAGAAGGAGCACACACATAGATTGTACACCCATATTGTGCAAAAAAAACACCTGGACAGGTACATTGTATAATCCAAAATATTGAAGGTCACGGATGTTTCACGATTAATTCGTAACAAGATACATCTTACTAACATGTCCAGACCACTGAGCACAGACTGGCATATTCGTCGTAGGTACACATTAAACATGCCGATGCTGACGGTTAATAGGTGTAGATATATACAGATTTAACCACGCGTTGTGCGTACAATCCTCGCTCATAAGAATCATTAGAGGCATAGGCATGTGCTTGAGTATCTACAGTATATATATATATATCTCCTAGCACATCTCACTATTTCTACAACCACAATTCATCGGAACCCCCAAAACGAAATATGGCATAAATCTTCGCAAGGAAATTCTGCTTCGTTTGGAGTTACTTGATATATACCTTCCCTTTTAATCTACACGTCGGTAGTCACGCACCTTACGCGCACACTCTGGACTTCAACGTCGATGGTAGATAAATGTTAAAAAGAACATGTATACTTGTTCGAACTTGGGACCTCTAATAATCGGCATGCAAACACGAGTGTCACGTTCAAAGACTTGGGGCATCACTTGCGATGGAATGAATTTTTGCCAAATGAGGAATTCGCAATGGAGACTATTATTTCGTTTAATTGGTGCATGCTATACTGCTCATGTATCGTGTGCAAGGTGTCGCGATGGCTGAATAACATACTCATTTTGTTACAAATGCATCCTTCAAATATATATATATATATAAATATATTTATATATATATATACATACATACATATAAATACACACACACACACATATATATATATTACATAAATATACAAATACATATACATATAAATACACACACACACATATATATATATACATACATATACATATATATCTATACCTATATTTAAATACACACATATATATACATATACACATATATATATTAAAAACACACATACACACACAGACGTACATATAAATATATGTATATAGGTTTATACAAAAATATGCGTACATAGTGGTATAGGTATATGTTTACTTATAGACATATAGACAAAAATTATTACATATAGAAATATGTATATATTACACTTCACAAAAATGGCAACGGTTATGAAATATGCATGCGCATATATCCAAGTATGCATAGTCCCATTGTATATCTTCGAATAAAAATGAAAGTCCACGCAACCATATACGAACACGTATATTTGCAAGTGTCAATAAACTTCAATCTTCATATATATATAAGAGAAAAAATAAAACGACTCGACAAGTGTCCATTTAGTGACGATAGAGGTGGGAGCCAATGGTATTCAAGCTATAAAAACATTGACCTTACAGTCATATCTATGTAATTGCAAACTGTGTGTGCCTGTGGATGAAATATTATAAACAGAGGTGTGTGATCTGCATATATATACGAATAATTATACATACATACATACATACATACATGCTTACCATATAATTTATATGTAATATATAAATACAGATATATATATATATATATATATAAATACATGTATATAAATACTTCTAAATACATATATACATACACACCCACCTACTCCCATATATACATGTATATATATACAAATAAATGGGCATATATATATGAACATATGTACGTACGTATATATTTGAATGTGGCTGCTAAAGTTGCCACTTCTTGTTTCAAATTGCACGAAGACTCCGTCATCAATAGTGAGGTGGCCTAAGCTGCTTGACATTACTATACTACTTACAAGCAAATAGCAATCATCAATCAATATATCGGTTACCCACTCGTATGAACCATGTCTCTCAGAGAATAAAAGACACGGTAGTAATCCATGTCCATGCCTAACTTAAAATCCGTGTACGTCATCTTTCAAATAGTGTCGAGTAGTCAACACGCTCCACCAGGAAGTAACAGGTGACACTCGCACCTACATAAAGAAGCATCACATTCACCGCTGCAATGAAACGTGCAAGGACGCCTGAAAGAAACAAAGTAGAATAACATGAGAGGGGATATAGGTGCAAAGAATCATATGACAAGTCCAAATGAGACATACAGAAATACCTGCATATTGTAAAGTATATATAAATATATATATATATATATATACAAATACATTACGAATACATATACATATACATTTACATAAATATACATATATATAGATATATATATACATAGACACACACACACACATACATACATACATACATGCATGTAAGCATACATAGATACATAGATACACAGTTCCATAGTTAAATAGATACATATATATCTATATACATTGATACATACACACATACATACATATATATCTATATGCATTGATACATACATACATAAATATATATATATATTAATACATATGTACTCACCTACAATTGCTGCGTTGACTGCCCACTTGCTGTAGCCTCTCCTGGTGAGCGTCTCTCCCGTTAGAGTGGTAATAATCAACGGCATAACCCACATAAAAGCCATGTATGTAGGTACAGTACCAATCATTAGGACTGTTTTGTGTTGAAACACCAAGATATCCAGCTCTTGCGATAGAATCCAATCTGGTATCACCATGGCAACGGAAAGAGGGACCAGAAACACGTACACATCCCATAACAGTGTAAACTTGCTCAGTATCCGCCAATACAATGTAAAGTGATACCCTACCATAAGTACTAATAACGTCACATCATTTTGGTTTGGTGACGTTAGTAGCACACCCATTGCTGCCAACTGGAAACAGATATGAAACTTGGTCATCTCATACTCCCAACCGGCATCTATGTCAGTGCGTATGTCGGTACGACTATTCTGTGGGACAGAAGAGACAGATGAGTGTATTGGATGTGGCTTGGCACCTTGTCGTGACTTACGCTGCTCGGCCTTGGTACTCCTAGTCATGATTGCCTTGAACTATTATTTAACAGACCTAGAGAGTGTATAGTATCCTGTGGCCTGTGTGTATCAATTTACCGTTGATCTGTATGTAAATAGTCATATGGGAAAGTACCGTCACCTATAGAACGTTATAACGGTTATTGGAATAGAACAGGCCTGACCTACATAGTATGCAATATAACCGGACTATGACAGCAGAGCATTGTTGTTATATTTGCACCTCAGAACGCTTATATTGCATCCTATCAAACATACGGGACCAAATATGTAAACGTTGAGCGTAAACGTGGAAGTATTGACTTTCCTATACGTTTTAACGTAAACGAATTTAGGATAACCTTTTTTGTTTTTGATTATGTTTTCACTAAAAGCGTAGGGACGAAGTCGTCTTGAACAGTCCCTCTCTAGAGTAGTTTTTTTGTATCACGAAGAAGAAATTGTCAGGTTATAAGTGTCCCCATTTATAGGCCATTAAAAGAAAACAATTGGCCTTATTCTAGAAACGCTTTCAGTCTCCAAGGCTTCCTAAATTTTAAAATAAAATAAAAAGTCACAATTTTCGTTTTACTTTATTATTTTATATATGACCCACCCGTCTATAGTCCACAATAGTGATCAGCTTTTGATATTTGTGTACATGACATACACATATAGACTACATCAGTATTCAAGGTGTTATAGAACATAGTGTGCAGCTGATCAAAACTAACCTGGAATGGTATGAAAGCGTGTGAATATATCAAATATCCATATATAGAATTATATTTGTATATAAACCTATGAGGCTATCCATAGTTTGCGTAGCATGTTTAGCGTGACTGTCGCGAACCTCTCTACGACAATCTAACTTCTCTGAACTCGCTACTTCGAGGAAAAATCATTCGTTGTGAATGAATCCATAATTACGTATATGACACTTTCTAAGAATTAGTAGTAGTAGTACTAGTATACACACACACACACACACACACACACACACACACACACATATATATATATATATATATATATATATATTATATATAATAATATAGATAATAATATATATATATATATATAACTAATAATA